TCAAACCAGAATTCACAGTGCGAACACGTGCGTTATAAACAACGAAACGATATTCGATCGAACCGAGAGTGGATCTGACCGATTGTTTGCATATGTATCGGCACTCAGTCTCCGATCGATCACTTGAAAATAATTCCCTGAAAGCAGCCTCTAAAATCATTCTCCTAAACGGACTCTCTAAAATCGTTCCGCGAGCTAGCGAAGAAAAAATGGCGGCTGCCGGCGCGATGGCTCGCAACGTGGAAGAAGACGTCCAGCGGGCGTCCGTTCGGTATGCGCGCGCGTTACGGAACGAACGGGAATAATATTCGATTTGGATCGGCGCCAACGGTGAAAAGCAGATTTCGGCTAAGAGCATCTAGCGCGCTATTTCACCTGCATTTCGGTTTACCATGCGAGATACGCGCGCGGCACGTGATGCACGGCACCGGGCGCGCATCACGTGAGCGTGCGTAACTCGTGTCCGTCTGAATATTTCGGTTTCGTCGCTATTCGCGTAGATAACGCGGAACCACGTGCCGTCCTCTATTTCCGACCGCGATTTAGCTGCGTGATGCATCCGTGGAACCTGCGAATCCTTAAATCTCCTACCTCGAACACCTTTGCAACACTTTCTCCCTTGCGAACCGTTTCTCGTCTCTTAGGGCTTCGGACGTTACACCTTCTCATTTGGGCTCTGGCAACATTTTTGGGATCCTTTGGAATGGGATTAGTCGGATATTTCGTGGGAATCGGGTGGAACGTTCAACCTTCTTCAAAGTTTAACACTTTGACTGCCAAGTATACGCTCATCGAAACTCCTACGCAATCAAAGCGGTTTTCTTAATAACGCTGAAACTAAGAAGTCAATATTCTTCGTAACGATTGCTCTACTATCTTTCTGGTATCTGATATCTAACAGAATTCGTTTGTTCGTTTCATCACCAAGAAAAGTAATGTTTAAGTTTATGTAAATCGTGTCACCTGAATTCGAGTGACGTGGAAGCCAAAGAACTCCAAGCAAAATGGAGTTCTAAATTTGAGTATATCAAAGTGATGGATACTAGAGAAGGAAGATAGTATTAGGAATTAAAAAATTCTGATGGTTATTCTATGTTTAAGTTTAATTCGAAGGTTAACGATTGATAAGAGGAGATTGATATTTAATTCAGATGTAGAATTCTTCAAATTCAGGTTGAAGTGTTCGTCACGAGGCGGACACGGTATTGTAGGTCGAACGGTTACAGGGAATTTTAGCTTTATGGAATCCTTATGGTTTGATGGTGCGTTTGTCGGCCGATGGAAATGAAATGTCGACGTGTAGCTACGACCGCGCGTTTGGTGCACTTTGAGCGCGGATGCAAGAGTCGCAATCGCGTCCTTGTGTATTTCATCAGTGACACAGGCTTAAGGTTGATTCTTACTGTCCTTTCAGCTACCGACAGGCAACAGGCTGTTTGCGGAAATATTTTTCGTTGAATTCGCCGCGGATGTTTGCGTAAAACTCCACTGATCCACGAACAGGCGTTTGTTTATTGGTGTTCCTTTCAGCAGGCTTACAGTAAAACGAAGTCGTTACGTTTCCTTAAACTGTTTGATGCAGAAGATTCGATAGAAATCTTTCCCCTTGATTATTTAAAGACTCATTAACCGTTTATGCGAGTTTATGTGAGTTTACGTGGGTTGTAGATGCTAAAGAAAATACCAGTTTGTATGCAGTTATTTGTAGAAACAGAAAACAAAGAGAAAAGTGTGTATTTGAGGATTGTATTAGTGTTTAGGTAAATAATATAAAAATTGGCAGTAGGTGATATAATATGGTATATTTTATTAATATATTATGAAACTAGGGATTTGGTTAATATTATGGTGTCTTCTATGTTTACTTATATTTTTATTTTATCGATTAATATGGTGGTTTCGTAATTTTTCTCGTCATCTTTAAATACTGCTTTTTGTCTGTAATAATTGGTGTTTACGATTTGAAGAATTGACTTTCCTCTACGACGATAAACCAAATATTGAAAATAAAGTAATCTGATTAATATTGCAGGCAGTGGGTAGTGTGAACCGACCTTTAATCGTTCAGCTTCTATACGATCATAAATCACGCTTCGGCTCACAATATACTGCGCTAACCTGGCGTTACCTGTTCGACAGCCTTTCCCAGCTGGCTCTTTATTCCCAGTAATTATGCGACCGACGATTTCATTCGAGATTGAATTATCGAGTATCCGCGATTACGGAAAACCCTATGGCTCAATCGCACAAGGATCCTACTTTACACGTAAACGCGTAATACACGAGATCCAATCGGTAATCGTTACACAAGAACATAAATGGAAAAAGAGCAGAGAAAACATTTTCATATCTTGTACACTTGGAAAAATGCAATTTCAATTTCGATTACATAGAATTTGCATATCGTATGGTATGAATATTGATATCATTCAATACTAAGTTTCTTGAAGATGTAAATTATTCTAGATTTTTATTTGCATATTTTCTAAACGATGCCGTAAAACTAATTAAAAAATGACACGTTATTACCAATTGAAAAATATTATAAGCGTTATCTTAGTCGCATAGCTGTTATCGCAGCGAAGTGATCGGAATATTGAATTTTTCTAACTCCAATTTATCAAATAATCTTCATTCGATGATCGTTACTCAAATAATCTCCATTCAATAATCGTTATTCAAACAATCTTCATTGAATAGCCTCTATCCAAATAATCCTCATTCAACAATCTCCGTTCCAATAACGTCCATTCAATGTTCCTCATTCAAACAACCAACATTTAGTGAAACAAAACCGCAGATGCGAAAACTGCAAACAAAGAAACAAACGTTACATCTAAAATTCGCCGGAATTTGACGACAATCTTTACTCAAGCGAACCTTCGAATACAAAAAGTTCAATCGACGGATCAAAAGTCGCAGTCGAAATGCGGGAAAATCCGACAAAATTCAGCAGTAAATAATCTGCGGCCAAATAACGCTTGAAATGCAAAAAGTTGAATCGAAGGATCAAAAGTCGCAGTCGAAATGCGGGAAAATCCGAGCGGTCGCGTCGGCTCGCGATTGTTCCGCCGCGGGTATATCCGTTTTTATTTGTATTCCCGAAAACAGCCGGTCCCCGCTTCGGCGTGGCATCGCGATCAAAGTGTACGGTGTGATGGGATCCGCGGGCAAAACAATTTATTAGTCGTTTGTTGCGCCGTTCGTGCGTGGCTCGCTCGCTCGCTCGCGCGCGCGCGCGGTTTCTGGCTGACGCCCAGCGGGATTGTCTTTGACGCGAAATATCCTCGCGTTTCGATATAATTCTCGCGTTCAACCGTGCGCGCGTTCGGAGAGACTGTTTCTAACTGGCCACAATGTGATCGGTCTCGCGCAGCAGCCTAGGTGAAATAGTCACGCGTTACGGCCACACGTGTGCGTGTACGGACGCATCATTAGCAAGACTATCATTAGCCAACAAGGCCGTGAGCAGGGCCGCCATCGCCGACGTACGGCCACGAGTTTGTTCCAAGCGGACTCGACTCGCTGTGTTCCAAATTGTCTCGTGTCGTACGGAAACTTTGTAAGAGAAACAGAATTTTCTTGGTGCAAACGACATTTTTTTAACTCTTTGCACTGCGAAAGTACTTCGCTAGAAATATCCAACATTTTCTGACGAGATGCTGACGATACGTTTCGAAAGGAACTTAATGAGATGTAGATTAAGGATAGTTTTTTTATTCAATTTTAATAATTGATCATCATTATATCATATTTAATGAATTATATTTAATAATTTTGTACGCGTTTCAGATTTTAACTCTCGTAGTCGAGAGGCGACTCTTGATTTGCTACAGCAAAATGATAATTTGGTATTCAATATTAAACTTTGTGTAATCCAGTGTGAAATATTGAAATAACATAGCTCCTTTCCTTAATTTGTCTGTGAATTATCGTTAAATCAGTTGAACGAGAAAATATCGTATATATTCTATCAGAGAATATTGAATATTCCTAGTGGAAAACTTTCGAGTGCAGAGGGTTAATAAATTATTCGTGCAACGTGAGACAACGGAATCAATTCATACGCGCAGTGTGTACGTTCTTAACACATTCGCATCGGGTGATTTTTGCTAAAGTTTTCCTATAAAACGAGGCATTACAATGATATAAGGATATTTCAATGTATGCGTATTAACATTGTGATAATTATTTTTTTTAATTGATGTATAATATACTTTAACACATAGAGAATTCTCGTTCTTCGGCGTTAACACTAGATTTACGTCAATTTGACGGATACCGAATTTTTTTAACATTAGCAGCAGTTTAAGTCGATTTTGATTCGAGCGATAATATTCTAGCTTCGAAGCTACAATTTTCGCGATCTATATAAACGAACACATAGTTTTGTAGATCCAGTAGAATAAAGTATAGAATAAACATCTGTAAATCTATTGTTACGTGGAGCATTCTTTTGTCGTGATGCACTAACTTCACGCACGTTTCGAAAATCAGTAATTCGGAATATTCCAACGTTATGAAAGTTATTCACGGTACATACGCACGCACACTCGCTCGTCAATACACCCATACCCAGAAATTTTATCGGCCTCAAGATCTTCGGGGCCCACGCGTTATTATTAGTGGACTGCAGCTCGCGAATTGCATCTTGATGCAATTTCTGACACCAGGTCTACGGGCATTCGTTGTGCAGTTTATTTTATTGTTCGCAGAAAAATTGTTGTGCATTTAGATCTTGGAAATTAGAGGTGTAAAATCTACCAAGCATCTACCAAAATCAACGCGAATTATCAGATAACAAAAAGATAAAAATATCTATGAAATTCGAAATTGTGTAATATCAAACCATCCTTACAAGTGAAACTATCAAATTTATTGTCACAATATATCTGTATAAAAATAAATCTAAAACATCCAAAAGTGTATATACACGTCGATGAATTACATAATGGTCGAAATGATTGTATACAGTCTACCCAAAAATCATCTTCCAGGTCCTCCACAATATTTCCGCGATCTGCAAGAGAAAGGAAACAAATTTCAATCACTATAGATAAATACATTAACTATTCAAATTCTCAATAATCCAAACCAAATCCCAACTGTTAAAATCCACTATACACTAAAATCGAATAACCTAATCAACGATATCAGGTTAATCCAATCATGTCAAAGATCACCAAAAATAAATCGAAGTAAGTCTCAATGGTTCAAAACCGCTGCGCAAAAATCAAATAAATCCCCGCGAGGATTGTGTACACCGGTGTCTGTGTATGCTCAAGAAAAATCCAGGAAAATCGGTTACGATGAAACAGGTAGAACAGGAAAATGTATTTGCACAGTGTAGAATGCTGTTTCGAGTGCCGGTGGCAAGTGAAAAATGGCTGTTTTACCAGCTGGTATCTTTTCCTCGGTTTTCTTGCGTAAATCTTTGCGCGGCGATTGATCGATCTATCTTGGAGGATCACTCTCCCTGCTTGCCCTCCGAGGCGCCGGAAATGCTTGACCCCTCGCTCTGCGGGCTCTCTTTCCTCAAGAGGCTGGTGCTCCTCTTCGGCTGTTTAGCGAGGATGTTCACGTCCAGCGCGTCGATGTCCTGTGGCACATCAGACCTCCTCCTCCTCCTCCTGCCGCGGCTCCGTCTGGACCTCCTTCTGCCGGATCGCCGCCTTGACCTGCGGCTCCTTCTTCTCTTGCCCGATCGACCTCGCCTTCGCGAACGTCTTCTACCTCTTCTGCTTCTACGGTGCCTGGAAGGCATCTCCACGCCGGTGTCCGCCATGGCCACCGGGTGCCTCTCCAGGAAGTCCAGGTTGTAGGTGTAGCATCCCCTAATTCGGAGGTTCCAAGGTTAACAGTAGAACTACCGAGCCCTCGAGTTGACTTTTCAGAATTTCTTTAGGAAAACTACAAACGTGAATTTATCAACCCTTTGCGGACGTAGATTCTCCGAAACATACCAAACCCTCAACAGATTAAGCTAAATTGTATATCATTTACTTGAACAATAGAAAAATAGGAAACTACGTGCTGATCTCTTGCTATTCGAGTAATCAAATCATTTGTTTACGACTTAGTCTTCCAAATATGAAAGTTTCGTCTCGTCGAAATGTCGGTGTTTGTCCGCAAAAAGTCAATGTGTTAATGAGTTGGAATACTTTAAAGATTGGAGGTTCGGTGACGTTTGGAGTTGTTTGGAGAGGTTTGGTGATATAGAGTTTAAATTCGAATCTGGCACGTGGCAAGCTCTCAATTCTTAAAGTTTAGTGTTGCATTGAAATCTCGCGAAGAGGATATTGTCGAATCGTTGAAATTCGCAAACTTACCCCTTCAGTTTCTGCAAGATCCCATAAGAAACGCCGCGTTTCAAGGCGATCTGAACCTGCCGCTTGATCTCTGAGCTTGGCAGGTCATATTCCTGGGAAATATAGCTGCTAATTTCTCGAGGAGTCGATCCTTGGACAGCCTGCAGCCTGCGTATAGCTTCCACCACTTGAGCCTCGATTTTTTGAGATTTCTTCGCGGACATGATCTACTTTCACCATGGATCATACACGAAACAAAGCTGTCGACACAAAGAAATCATCGAATCGATGCAGTTTTCTCAACAACTTCTCATTTTCCACAATCGCTTCAACGATCGAACTTCCAAAATCTTTAACTGCGTCTAACGAAGACTCACATTTAGAATTTCCAGGACCTTTCCCCTGCTCGAAAATCTCGATCTCATTTGCCGGAGATTTATTCGTCGTGTCCTCGTTTCTCCGAACGAAAATTTCCCGTCAGTCGCGTACCGAAATCTCCTCCGCAGTGGGATCTTCTCACTTCCGAATCGAATTGCCTTCCAACATTGAATTTAGAACTAATCGTCGAAAGTGATCGCGGAAAAGGAACTGTTTTCTTCCATTCGGCCAGAATTTATCAGGAACAACCCCCGGCGGTCCGGCGTCGTGGGATTCGTCGCGGTGGGTCCAGGGAACGCGAAATTTCTTGTGATTAGACATCTGACGGTGAACCGGTCGCCAAGCGACGATTCTCTTGCAGTCGAGTCGCGATTTTTCCGCGCTCGTTTCACGAGAATTCGAAACGGGAACTCGCACGGGCTGTTTTTTTTTCAATTCGAAACCGTTGTATGAGCAGCTCACTGGGCAAATCGATTAACTCCGTGAAACAAACAGCGGAGGAAAGTGACGCCGTAATTGTATATTAACCGTTTGCACTCCAGAAGTTTCTCATTAGAAATACTCAAGATTTTTTAATGAAATACCGAGGACATTCTTTCAAACTGACTTAACGAGAAATCGTACATAAATTAAAGGAAGTGGCTGTTTTATTTTAATATTCCACATGTCGACGCGTTGTACAAAGTTTAATATTAAATGTCAAACTCTATAATTTTGCTGTGTCAAATCAATTGGTGACTGAGAGGCGCCCACGGAGTGCAAAGGGTTAATTTTAGAAGTTTCCCTTCAAATGCAAAATCAAATAATCAGAAAAAGATGTCATAGTTAAAGAGAGACACGGAAGACGAGGTACTTAGTCCTTATCGGACGTATGTCACCTCCCACGTGACACTACGCTTTTTATTCTAGTAGACATTTGTCGACATTTGTTGCGTGACATAGCAAATCATTCTTCCACATTCGACTATGGAATCTACACAAAAATAAGTCGCCTAGAGAAACTACCCTTAGAAAACATGGAGAAACATCAGTAAAGAACTGGAACCAAAACTATAACTCTGGAACAATATCCACCAAAATCCTTTATAGAACAATTAAATCAATACTTAAAAAAACTCACATTACAGGGATTTCATGTGTGTTTCACATTAAATTCTACAAACATCCCTTCTCATACACTACATCTTCCTCTGATTTTGATCATTTTCATAAAATTCTCATTTCCACGGTTCTTGGTAAATTTTTAATCACGTTATACTGGTTCCTATCGCACTTAACACTAGGTTTACGGAATGCGTCAAATTGACGCACATTGAATTTTAGAAATATTATTTTATAAATGTTTACGCCGATTTTGATTGATGCGATCACACTGACATGTACCCCAGTTACCTACTATCAAATCTCCAGTTTTCACAATCTAAATAACCGAGCATCAATTCTTTTAGGAATAATAGAACGAAGTGTACAATAAATGCCCGTAAACCTAGTGTTAATAACAGCGACGACTTTATTTCGGTTCCCCATAACTGTTCCAAGAAACGAAACCGATATCATAACTGTTTTCAACCCCCGAAGTCGAAGGAACGAGAATCCAACGTGCATCGTGTCTTATTACTGGCCTCGGTCCAGCCAAAAAAATAGAGGGATTTCGATCTATTTCCTTACGGTTCGCCTCCACTTTCCTCCCCCTCTTCGGAGTGGTTCTCGCTCTCTCGCTCCTGCTTCTGCCTCTTGCTTCCGTCTCTTTCCGTCCGGCAAGCAGAAATAAAACGGCGGCGAATAGCGCCAGGAGAGAACGGCGGCAGACCTTTAAACAGTGTCGTCACCGAGGCTGTTTTCTCATGCCTTCGTAAATATAGTACTCTTCCGGCTGTTTGACTTGCAAATTGAGTCCGCAATTAGAGAACCGACCAAAAAATTGCCGTTCGAATTATTGGCCGGCCACGAGGAAAGTGAAACCAGGCTGGATGCCGGCCGCGCAGAGGCTTCTTCTTGGACGATCCGGATCTTCTTCGGGGAAATTCAAATATCAATTTGATTTCTCACCTTTCCCTTTTGCTTCTGTTCGTCGGTGTTCGGATAAGCGGAATTTTGTGTACCGGTTCTTTTATTGAGAATGTTTTGAGTAGGATTGCGAATGGTATTGCTTTTAAATCGAGGATATTGAAGTATGAAGAATTTTAAATGTTCTTTCTTAGTGCAATTGAAATATATAGAATTTTCCATGTGTGCAATCAATTGTAATGTCTAAAATTTTAGATGTTAGTTTGTTCTGTTAGAAAGACTGAGATATGGAGAATTTTAAATATTATTCTCTTTCTTAGTGCAATGAAATATATAGAATTTTCCACGTGTGCAATCAATTGTAATATCTAAAATTTTAGATGTTACTTTGTTCTACTAGAAAGACTGAGAATTTTAAATATTTTTTCAGGGAAATTGGGATATGCGAAATCGTACACTTTTCTTTGCAATTAGAATTGAGATATACAGAACTTTATATTTGTTATCAGAAAAATCGAAACAGTTAGAACACGTTTTATCATACTGACAATTGAAGTAGTGCTTACTACGTAAGAAGTAACAATCGAATCGCACTATTTTATGTTTAGTGGAATCTTAGTAATCACAGAAGGAACACTATATAAATCTTATATTCTGAAAGCATCTCGACGGATAATTTACTGCAGTTAAATGCTGCACGTTTTTGCGTGAGTATATTACACGCGTAACTCAACGCGTCGATATTATGCGATAAGACGAAATATGTAAATGTCAATTGCAGACTGTTCCGGACCGTTAAAGGGACAGTTTAACGAATTATCTCACGCGTCGATCGACGCGTAAATCGTTTTACGCAAACGTCGTCGCAAACGCCGCTGCGTCTCAATTATAATAATTTATTACGATCCGATCGACGTCGAGCCGGACGCCGTTAACATTTTTACTTGGATTACGCCGGTAACAGTACGCATATTACATTCTAATACCGCCGTGACCGGTAATCTGTAATTACTTATCTCCAATCCGTGGAGAATAATTAAATAAACAACTTCCCTCATTTTTCCGGATTTTCAATCGCACTTTTCCGTTTGCTAATTTCACGATTATTACAGAATGTCGCTGCAATTATATAGTTCTTCTCGTATCTCTAGAGATAATGTCGAGTTTCAGCACGTGGTTAATTGGTGCTTATGCAAATGTGCACTCGAGATAGTTCTCTGAAGATGCGGATTAAAATGAAAGAATTTTCGTTTAAATTACAATTGCGGATAGTTCGTTGGACTGTTGATTTTAATATATTCATTACCAATGAATATTTCAATTATGTCTAATTTTTTTTAAATTATTCGCACATTTAGAAATTTATTCTATAAACTACAATATATATCTTTCCTTGAAATTCCCTGTAGAATGTTCCCAGAGCTTCGAATGGAAAATGAAAATATCGAATTTGCTTTTAACTGACTCATTGATAAGGGTCCGTATACACTAATCAAAAACGTGTGAATAATTCGCTCGAAAAGAGTGAATCTTCATAAACAAAGTCGAATTCGAAGGTTGAACAAACCGAGAAACATTCACCAATCCATATGTAATAAAAGTGACATAACTGAAAAGAAATTACATCAGTTCCCGCAATTCCTCCAGCTAATCAGATACTCATCGGAATAAGCAGAAAGTAAGCTCTCTTATTATCCCCTTATCAAAATTTCAGCAGAAGATAACTGTTTATTAGCGAGAGAAAAATTCCGAGCAAATAAAGTACCAATAATATATCCATAAAAAGTATATTATCGTTCAGAATATACGCTTCGTTTTCATTAGCGAGCGTATCACGTTATCGATAACACTCTGAGTGAAATCGATGAATAAAAATCAATTTAAAGTTATTTCTAACATTAACTCCGTGCTCACATTTTTCCAAGGAAACATTTTTCGTGAGACGTCAAAGAAGAATACTACACGAAACAACCAAAACAAAGAAATATCGAAATATATTATAAGCCGGCAAAACCTCGAATGTAAATTAATCTATCATTTAAAAAATCATTGCATTTTATAAGCAAGATATAAACCAAAATTTCCAGTGGCACGAGATGCGTTGGAAAAGAATTGATTCGGATCGAGGGAAATTCTTTTGCGTTCGGTTCTGTCAAAACTGAAGGAGGACGGCGCTTTATCAGCACGTAATGCTAATAGTGAAAAGTTGGCCAATCAACTTGTTAGCCGAAGTGCCGCTCGGCGCCGGGATTATCTGCGAAATCTGCCACTCGAAAGAAGTGTGGTCAATGCAATATAAATTCTGATAAGGAGCTCCTTGGTACGTTAGCCGGATCTCCTGCAGAGAGCAGCACGAACGTAGTCAGACTCTACTGGCATCTGGCACGGGTTCATGGAATTTCATGCCACCATCGAGAACTTACCATCGGCGTGTCGAGCAATCGACCAAGAAAAAAAAAACAGATTGCCGTTCGAAAGTACCCGAATAGATCGTTTTTGGAATTTTTCTTCGGCAACATGAGTTTAAAGGGATCTTCGTTGGTATAATAAATAAGGACGCATTTGCATTGATGAATTAAAGATGAACGAAGACTTGTTTTCATCGTTGTGTATTCAGAGGATAACTACATTAGCGTGAAAGTTTATTGTTTATTTATTTTTTAAGAATGTAGGTGTAAAGAGTGGTGATTTTTTTATATATTGTGCAATGTGTGAAAGCCTTTATTGTGGGGAGCTCTGAAAACGTAGTATTTACGTAATATTAGTAAATACTAGTAAACGTAATATTTATAGTATTTTTAAATCCCTAATCTCCAAGACCTAGACAGTTCTAAGAGCA